ACATCCTTTATTGATGAACACCAAATTGCAGCCAATACTCATGGCTACATAGGCTTGTTGCCTGAGCTGACAGTTCACCAGATCCATCCCTGGACCTGCTTTTTTTGACAGTTGAACATAGTTTATTTACAATTTAACATAAGACAAATATATTACAAAATTGACCAGAATTGTATTATAGAATTAAACATAAGATTATTAAACACACTTACTTCATCCCTCGCAATATATTAAAGGACATTGCATGGCTGGGTCTGTTTTATATTTTTCCTATTCAACATGTTGAGTGATATTTTTACACACCTCCGGAGCAGATGGGACTTGAACGCAAGCCTCCTGGCCTAGAGGTAAGAAACACTTCCACTACGCACAAGAGCCCTTGGGATTTACTTTATTTTATTCATGAAGGTATCTGCTTTATTTTTTATGTTTGAAATCTGGAAGTGTTCTTACGTACAAGTGAACAACATTCCAACCTTCAAAACACCATTTTTTTTTTAACTGTTAACAGCTACCAGTAAATCATCAGTGTAACCAATCAGAAATGTACATGCAGGAGGGGGTCTGCTTTAGTTTTTGACCTTTGTTCAATCCCCTAGAGCAGTTGGGACTTGAACCTAGGCATCCTGGTTCAGAGATAGAGACACTGCAATGGCACCACAAGAGCTGCCCGTGGTCTTTTTTATGGATATTGTTTAGTCAACTTGTTGAGACATGTTATGTCACACTTCTGGAGCAGGTAGAACTTGAACCTCAGTTTCCTGGCTCAGAGGTAGCAACTGAAACACTAGGCTACAAAAGTCCTTGGTGTTTGCTTGTTTTGTTTTAACCAACCTGTTCGGGGATGTTCTTACACTCCTCTGGAAAAGGTGAGACATGAACCTGCATCTCCTCGCTCAGAGGTAGGAACACAACCACTTGACTACAAGAGCAGAATTAAAACTTTGCAGGGTTGGACAGGAGCAGCAGCATTTGCCAGGGGTCTACTTTTATTTTCTCATTTATACATGTGGAAATGCTCTTACCAAAAACCAAATCGCCTTTCCACCACTAAATCACCGTGACTTTTTTGTTTTTAACAATTAACTGCCATTCATAAATGACCCATGTAGCCAATTTGACATTGACATGCAAATCCCATTATTGACAATGCAAAGGGTCTGCTTTCTTTTATATGGGGGTGGTCTGCATTACTTTTTTGGGCTTTTTGTCTCATTTCTTTGTTTGTTCATTGAAAATAGAGGAATGTTTGTCAGCAAGTGATGACCACCTTCAGAAACAAAGAGATTCAATGTGAAATTCCTGTCACTGATACAAAAAGCAAAAACATTTTTGAATTAAATAGAATCTAGAAGTAGGCTGGTCAAAAAAGCTGCTATTAAATTAGGAACTTTTGGTATGTGAAAATCTAAATTATCTAGAATGTTGGGAAAACTTGGTGTGCAAGAAATGGGCCACTCTACCAAAAATGTGGCGTTATTGCTTTGAGACATATAGTATCGCATTTAATCTAAAAACCTATTAAACTACAAAGCTTTGGCAGTGCATCAAATTGGTGATGATGTAACGGGTATGAATGATCTCTTTGGCTAAAGTGCAGAACTAGCAATAATGAAACAATGCCCCTTTTTTGCTCCAGATGATTTTCTTTTCCATTGACTTTGAACATAGAATCCACTTTTGCCCACTCCAGGCTATACTGATAAAGACTAATTTCATCTCCTATGTAATTTCACCTCATCTATGTGAACAGAATAAAAAGGTCTTATGGAAAAACATAGCTGACTTCCTAGGGCAACAAATCCTCTCATGATCAATTTAAAATGTCAAGTTGATAATCAGAATAGATGACAGTTTTAGAATGCATTGTCATCCAGAGTGAATTATGTTTGTTGAGGGACATTCAAGGTCAAAACTACTTTGGATGAAACCAACCCACATACAACGCTACCTCATTTACATTATGCCTGTAAAATCTTAAATTTATAAGCTCAGGCTGTTATTCAGTATTAAAAGGTCTTCATTTTGCCTTATATCCTTACTTATAAATGGGCAAAAGCACTTTTAAAGTAGATTTATTCTGCATTCAAAGTCAATGGAAAAGAAAACTATTTGGTAAAGAAAATAGGCTGCATTTCTTTATCAAAAACCAAAAGAACTGCGGATGCTATAAATCAGAAGCAAAAACGGAAAATGCTAGAAAACCTCAGCAGGTCAGGCATCATCTGTGGAGAGAAATCAGACTTAACGTTTCGGGTTGAGTGACCATCCTCAGAACCGACAAAACGTTAATTCTGATTTTTCTCCATAGATGCCACCAGGCCTGCTGACTTTTCTAGCAATTTTTGTTTTTGCATTTCTTTACCGCTGTTTCAGTTCTGTAATAGAAGACAAATTTCAAACCCATAACATGGTCTGCTACCACAAGTTTTGTGTTCAATTAGGTTTCAGATTAAATGCTGTACAAATGCCACAAAGCTTTGGCACAATGTTTGTCAGGTAGCAGTACATTCTTATCTGACCAAACATTCCTGGCATTTCACAGAACTTTGATATTGTTTCATACCAACGTTTCCTAATTTGGTAGCACCATCTTTTAACCAAGCTCTCTTCAAAGTCCATTTCCTTTAAAAAAAACAGTTTTGCTTTTTGTATTAGCGCAAAAATTTCACATTGAACCTCGATGTTTCCGTGTGACAGTGAGTATAGCAAGAACTCTTCCATTTTTAACAAACCAACATTGAAATGGAAACTAGCTCAAGAATGTCAATGTCTTTCAATTATCCCTTTTTTGATATATACTTTTTACAAGTCACCATATTTCTAAGCCTTCACTTTTACCCTACATGCAGTGTAAAGAGTAGCTGTTTTACTTCAGCTCCTGCAGTACTAGTAAGTCCAGAGCAGAACTATGTGCTGAGCAATTATTTCACTAAGCAAAGCCTTGTGGATCCTGTTTGATAAAAATTGATTTATTCAACTACACGAGGGGTCTCAGGATGGTTTACTTCTGAAATTAAATGGATCTCTTCTGCACTTAAATGGTTGGCTGGAATTTTGTTCCTCGGTTGGGTAGGACACTCAAGAAACCTCATTGTCAAATTCAGTGCAGTACAGGAATTGCAGTGAAACACATGAAAGAAAGTTATGGAAGAACAAAATTTCAATGGTAAAATTTGCTGAGCTGATATTTGTCATTTTATTTGCTACCAGACCAGCTTATGCAAGCTGAAGAAAAGGCTGGTGGTTCTGTGTCCTGGTCAACCTATGGAATTTACATCGAGGCTGCAGGAGGTAGTCTCGTCTTCTTTGTAAACATTCTTCTGTTCATACTGACAGCAGGCAGCATAGCATTCAGTAACTGGTGGCTCAGCTATTGGATTAAGCAAGGCAGTGGGGTGAGTTCCTTATAGTGGTAGAATACAGTACATATAGTAACAAACATGGATGTCCCAGAATGCCATAACTAACATGATTAGAACATACAGATGCAATTGTGCTTTTTGCAACTTTTTGTTTAAAATGTTCCCAAATTGCAGCAATTTGTAAATTATTGTTATGTATCCAGGATTATTAAATTAAGTTTATAATTCGCTATGATAATATGCAGTTATAAAAGCTGTAGGTTCTAATCACAAACTAGTGCCTTGGGCCTTATGTCTTGTAATACTTCAAAGTGCAACAGAACTGCAAATCATAAAGAAAATAAAATTCAATCTTGAATTCATCTCATACACTAAATGTGTGTTGAATGAATACCTTGATGAACTCAGCAGATGATTGTAGACTGGCTTCTTAAGAGATTGATATTGTGCATGACATTATTTTTCAGAATACACCTGTAACTAAAGGTAATACAACCTACATCAGCAACAGCATGAGAGACCATCCGAAACAGAACTTTTACACTTGCGTCTATGCTCTATCCATGGTGGCTGTACTACTTTTCAAGGCACTCCGTGGTTACACATTTGTTAAGGTGCTGAAATATAATGTTTGTGATAAACAAATAACTCTGTTTCATTATAATTGATAGACCAATACCTATTTCAAATCTGTGCAAGATAGAGAAGTAATTGCATCGATGAACCCCACTGTTACAATCTTCTTGGTAATGATCAATACCGAATATTTCTGCAGGGTAATCTCATTTCTGCAAGTAAATTGCTTGTTTTCATAAGAATGCTGTGCATGCCTGCTGATTATGTTATGCAATTCTTCAGTTTCCTTGGATCCAAGCTAGAGAATAAAAAAAAGTGATTTTTAGACTTTGTGTATTGTTAGATGGTAGGAATTAGTAGAAATCAAGGAGCAGACTCAGAATTCCATTCCTACATTTGCTGTGAGTGCTGCAGTCCAACCCTCGCTCTCTTATGGGCAACTGCAGTGCGTTCCTAAGATGTTGATCTTAATCTTGTTTACTTTTGACACTTCTCAGTGCACATCAAGCTACACATCTCTTATTCAAACTGTCTCACTAAGCCATTTCCAAAACTGTCCTTAAAACTACTGAGTGAGCTCTTGACATAGTCCAAGCAAGTGAATGGGGATATGATTGTAACAATATGAACCTCAATTTATGTACAGCCTTTAGTATAATAAATCAACCCAAGGTGCTTCACAGGAGCATCATTAACTAAACATGATATCAAGTCAGATGAAGATATTTGGTCAGATGACAAAAAGCTTGGTCAAAGAGTTAGGTTTTAAGGAGTGTTGTTGTATTGGAGGAAAGTGCATGTAAAGGTGTAGGGAATTGAAAGAGTGGCCAACAAAAGTTGTAACAATTAAAATTAAAAACACTCAAGGTTAGAATTAGAGAACTGTACAAACCCCCAAGGCAGATGGTGATAGAGGAGACTATCAAGGTAGAGAGGGACAAGGCTATGGAGGGATTTTAAAACAAGGATGAGAATTTTAAAATCAAGATGTTGCATGACTGGGAGCCAACAAAGACTAGCATAAGAAACATCCTTGGTTAGCCTGATTGGTTCCTATTACCTTGCGTAACTAAATAATGTCAGTCAACAAATGTAACATTAGTATGAGGACGGGAGGAGGGCTAGTCTGTAATGGAGATAGCCTCTACAGCTAAGGCCACCTACTATTGACAATTTCCTTTGATAGCTTCCTCTCTCATTTTCCAAGCAGGGCATTAGATTTAATGAGTTGACTAAGTGTTGTTAATGAGTGAATAAGTGTTGCATGAGTTGTTATGCACGAGGAAGGATTTGAAGATTCTGAACAATTTGTAAGGGAAGGTGGAAAGATGTAGATAAGACTATTCAGGAAGAAGAAAGATATGTTTATACAAAAAAAATTTATTTCAGATTGCCACAAGTGACTTATGAAGCTGGCAATGGGTTTTGTGCCACTTTCTCTTCCTATCCAGTCTTTCTTTTGCTTTTGTGCTATTTTGACTAAGTAATGTTTCAGTGCATAGCAATGAAGTCTTAAAACGAAAGCTGTGCATTCACATCTCAACTTTCAAATGTTTCATGACTGTAAGTTTTGCTGTCCAGAACAATAACAGTTGCTGGTGGTGCTTTTCTCTTTAAACTTTCATGTGGACGTGCTTATCTTGTTTGTTTACGTTAAAATGAACCTAGGAATTTAAATGGAACCAATGCCAGATCTCATAGACAGAAGGAAACCTGACCTATAGCATACTTCTGGTGACATTAAAACTGAATAATAAAATCTAAATTGGAGCCTTTACACATTAGGTTATCAAAACCTATTTGTTAATAAAATCCTTAAAAACTTTTACATCACATTTTAAGTAGCATTTGGTGAATTTGACTTTATTCCCTGTATTGAAATAAATATAGTTCTAATGGACTCTTGGTTATTTAAATCTTTAGTAATTATGTATTATGTTTCCTGAACAGTGCACACTTAGGGCCTCCTCCAAGCTGCATGATTCTCTTTTTAAGAAAATTCTGAGGAGCCCAATGCAATTCTTCGACACAACGCCTCTGGGTCGCATTCTAAATAGATTTGCTAAGGATATGGATGAAGGTAAGACCTATAAAATGTTTTGAATAGGTAAATGTATTTTTAAACAAAATCTTAGAATTGACAGTACAGCTTGTGGCATAGTGTAATTGTATGGTGTGCTTTCACATTTTTCCCATTTGGAGAATATTAAGCTTTGAATAATTGTTCAGGAGAAATTGTAAGCCAAGGGTGGGCACTGTTGAGAAAGAGGAAAGACTAGGAGTGATAGTTAGTCACTTCATTGATTTCAAGCTGAGGGAGTGCAGTTATACTTTTATTTTACTATAAAGGCAAAATTCTTCTGGGTGCACATCAATATGAGAAAGGACAGTAGTAATTTAATTTAAATTTTAAGCTCTCAGCTAATCATATTAAAGCATCCCTGCGCAGGAACATCTTGCAAAGCTTTCAATTTGTAATAACTAGAATATTACTTCATGCCTGGTACACAAGTGTGTGTGTAAATAGGAAATAAATAAATTTTTTAAATGGAGAAGTTCTGCCCATTTCATGCTTTCAGTAGCAAACAGACAATTTAATCTTTACTGAATTGCTTGTACTGTGAGATTGCCCTTTGCAGTAATCTGTCATCATTCTTTTTCCTCCAAATTGAATAAGGAATTGATTTGGCCAAGCATTTTTTTCTCTCTCTGTGGCTGCAGACAAAGTATAAATTTCTGTTGACTTTGTGGAAGCAGTGCTCATTGATATCAAAGTTTGGTGCCATGCAGTCTGTGTACCTAATGCAACTTGAAGAAAGATTTTCTGACTACACAGTGTAGCTGCCAGACGTCATAACTGCAATCTGTTGGTAGTAGCTCAGGATGCATTGGGGTCTTTCTGAAAACTGTCTTGAAACAGAAAGGTCATAGGAATAAAACTATAACTTCCCTTTATTCTGATTTTTCAAAAGAAAATTTATATCCTCATAAAACTTAAATGACATCAACTACATTAAAAGATTCAGAATACAACCCGATAACTGTTGGAACAGTAGTGTATTCTACAAATAAGACATTGTTATGATTCTTAATTATAATTTAGATTTATGATTTTTTCAGGTGAGTCCTAGTGCACATCATTGTCCTTTCTGTATGACAATTACACAGTGATTTTCTGGTTCAGGAGGTCAAAACAAAGGGTAAAAGCATGAATGGTAATGTTAACTGTTAATTCAATTTAATTGGTTTCAGTAAGTGAGTATTAACATCAATTTGCACTGAAATATATCATGGTAGTGAAATATTCCATCTCTGGAGGTGATGAATTGTTGGTAGACCAGTTTATGATATTTTATATTCTGCAGACAGCAATAATTTAAAGGAAATTGGCTTGTTTCATTTTTGTTTGGACAGGCTAGAAAATATTATGCTACAGCTTGAAAAAAGCTTTAATGTTCAACGCACTTTGTATTTTTTTTGTTCCTTTTTCCTACCCAGAAGCTGGGGGAAAGCAATGGCCTAGTGGTACTGTTGCTGGACTGTTAACCCAGAGACTCAGGAAATGTTCTGGGGACCCAGGTTCGCAGGGACCCATGGTAGATGGTGGAAGTTGAATTCAATAGATATCTGGAATTAATAAGTCTAATGATGACCATGGATCTGTTGTCAACTGCCAGGAAAAACTCACCTGGTTCACTAATGTCCTGAAGGGAAAGAAACTGCTGTCCTTACCCAGTCTGGCCTATATGTGATTTCAGACCCACAGCAATGTGGTTGCCTCTGGGCAAGTAGGGATGGGCAATAAATGCTGCCTGACCAGTGATGCCCTCATCCTATGAATGAATAATGAAAAAAAAAGTGTTATGACATACAAGTGAGTGACCTCCACACCACCAAAATTACCATATGTTTTTAAATTTTTTTTTAAAAACTACTAACCACTACCAGTAAAAACATCCATTAAAATATATTTGGACAGATACATGGATAAGAAAGGTTTAGAGGGATATGGGCCAAACACAGAAAATATGACAAGTTTAGTTTGGGAAATCTGGTCAGCATGGATGAGTTGGACCGAAGGGTCTGTTTCTGTGCTGTATTACTCGATCACTCTATGACTCTGTGACCTGTATAGCCAATTCATTATCCATTTGCAAAGCCTATTAAGGACAAAGAAAGCTTTCAAAAGACAGAGGTAGGCAAGGAGGGAGGGATTGGACTAAATCAAATGGAGAAGGATGGGGAAGTAAAGCACGGTGTACTCTGCATGCCCATCTCCCTGTAAAAGCACAGACAGCATTGATAGACACTGTAAACTCCCTCTCCAAGGATGCCCAGGCATGAATGTAGCCGTGGGAGAGGGACAGACAGGCAGAAGATGTGACCCCCTCCACAGTCCACTGCCTGGACCAGGTTTATAGCCAGCCTGGCCAGGCCCAAAAGGACATTTTCCAATCTGTCCACACCCCTCTGCATCAGATGCCCAAAGATCAGAAGTGTAGGACTGAAGTGCAACAAAAAACACAACAAAAGAGTTTCCAAATAAACAAAAAGGACATGCCCACAACCAATATATTTGACACATCTTGTAACCCCGAGTAGTAATTATTTTCAGATTAATTCATTTTCTTAATGACAGAGTTTCACTGGGCATGGTGAGGCTGGTGCAGGTGCAGGCTGTGAGGTAAAAAAGCAGTGAGTACCAATCTGCCCACTTTCGTGTTTGATCCAAGTGGATTTGGAAGAGAATGAGGAACTGGGAATACTTTAATAACTGAAATCAGCAAGTTTGTAGTTAGCCACAGTTATGACCATCACTAAAGGAGGAGAGGCCACTTGTGTGTATAATCAGATATCAGACAAATAACAGTGCATGCTAGCTCAGATCAATGGATTTCACTGAGGCGAAATAACTTGATTTTAAGTCCCAATTGCAGCTTTCTTGGAGTTATTTTCAAGTGCCTGAATCTCAACTTGCTTGCATTTGTTTTAATTCTCTCGTGAGATGTAGGCATCACTGGCTGGTCAGCATTTATTGCCTGTACCTAGTTACCCTTGAGAACGTGGTGGTGAGCTGCATTCTTAAGCTGCTACAGGTCATGGGCTGTAGGTAGACCCATAATGCCCTTAGGGAGGGAATTCTAGGATTTCAACCTAGCAATAGTGAGGGAGTAGGTGATGTATTTCCAAGTCAGTATGGTCAATGACATGGAGGGAAATTTGCAGATGCTGGTGATCCCATGTATTTGTTAACCTTGTCCTTCTAGGTGGAAGTGGTTTTGGGTTTGGAAGGTGCTGTGAAAGGATCATTGATGACTTCATGCAGTGCATCTAGTAGATAGTACACCCTGCTGCTACTGAGTGTCGGTGATAGAGGGAGTGAATACTTATGAATGTGGAGAAAATTACGCAGGCTGCTTTATCCTGGATGGTGGAACAGGATGGTGGATAAAGGAACTGAATGGCCTACTCCCCTTCCTGTGTTCCTTTGTTCCTTGGTGTTGAGCTACATCAGTGAGGTTTTCCTCCATCCTCTGTATCAGATTAGACAGAGTGTGCAATCCATTGGTCTGAGCCAGCAAGCAATTAGTTGTCCGTCAAGTCTGATTATTCTTAGAGATGGCGTGTCTTTCCATGTAGGAGAGCATCATTGTCAATTCCTGGGAAACATGGTGTATCTTAGAATTAGATTCATCCATTTTCCCTCTGGGAGTATGCTATGCCACTGGAAATGTTGACAGAAGCACACACGTTTGCTGCTCCACAAGTTCCCTTTTCACAGTTGATGCTTCAAGTTCATCATCGCAACCAAACCAAGCAAAGCAAAGCTTAGAATTTCCTGCTCCTCTGCACTGCTGGCGCAGTGACCGCATGTATTTCTACAAGTATGTGATGTACTTCTCACCTTGTGCCACCTATTCAAACCACCGAGACCCCACCAAGACATGTGTTTCTGTACTGGTGAAGGGTTTTCAGGAATCACGTGATGGTGCATCCTCAGAATGGTTGCTGTCCTCCAAGGACTCCGCAGTGTGGTCCTTGTCAGCTCCTCGGTGACCTATGAAGGACCTTTGGTGGATGAAAGAGAAGAATTAGTGCTAATAGTGAAAAAGAGTACAAACACAGCCTAATGACAGTATCAAGACAGTTATTCTGGACACAGTTCAACATGAATGATTGCAAGTTGATAGTGCATTATCTCATACTGTCACTAGGTTTCTCAGTCATCCCATCCCTCCTTCACCAACTCTGGCTTGCCAAACTCCAAGACACCTTCTTTTATAGGAATGGTATGGTTATGAACATGACTACATTGCTGTTTCCTACCCTGATTCTATAACTGTCTCTGGAGTTGTGAACTCTCTTCTGCAATTGTAAAAGGCAGAGATCCGAGTGTAAAAAGCAGAATGTACTGAGGATAGAATTAGAATATTTGAGGATGATGACTGTGAGGGATTGGTGTTAGAGGGAAATTTGGGGTGGATTGCAAATGGAAATTGTGAAGGCAGCTGGAGAGAACAAATGCACAGAATTGCACATGGTAGTCAGAGGAGAATACTATTGAGTTTGAGTGAGGTGATTGCAATGCCTGAGTGATGAGGCACTTTTCTGGACCTAATGTGGTCATTAAATCCCTAATGACACTGCTTCTCACTTTTTCTATCTTCAGCCACGACAGCTTGGTAAGGTCCAATGGTGTTTTCCTCCATCCTCAGCAAATACAACTTCATTCTTTGTGCTCACTGTCTCCAGCGTGACCTCCAGTGATGAATGTGAATATGGGGAGAAGCTTCCCACATTTTCCTTCTGTTCCAAACCAGCTTTCTGATTCTTTCCACAGCAAGTTTTCCTGCAGCCATTCAGACCCCACTAGGGACTAATTAAATAGAGCTTTCGATAACAGACTCAGGGCTTGATCACGTCCATATTCTCTGTTTGGCCAGGAAATCAAATACAGGAGTCAGATATAGTTCTTAGGGCTAAAGAGATCAATGGATATGGGGAAAAAAGCCAGGAACAGGGTACTGAGTTGGATAATAAAGCATGATCATATTCAGTGGTAGAACAGGCTGAAATGGCTGAATGGCTTACTCTTGTTCCTATTTTCTGCCTTTTGTAAACTGATGCCTGAATTAATCAGATTCTAAATCAGCTAAGTGTGGCACATTTTGCTAGGTCCTGGAGTTGAAAGTTTTGACCTACATATCTTCTTTTGCTTTTGTTTTCATTATCCTAAACTTACCTTCTACCAAAATAAACAACATCAGTTGACCAGGAGCTTGCTCCCATAAAACAAATTTATTATATGTTCCGTAATTGCTCTGTGTACTTTCTGTTTTTAGGATTGTTGTACGTACATCTGTCATAAGGGAAGATAATGTGTTTTAACACTAGGTATTCTATGTTCTCTTCTTCAGTGGATGTGCGACTGACCACACAGACTGAGATGTTGATCCAGAATATCATTCTTATACTGTTCTGTCTTGGTGTCGTCAGTTCCGTCTTTCCGTGGTTCCTCATTTCAGTGTTACCACTCAGTATTATCTTCATGGTAGTCAACAGAATATCAAGGTAATGTCCCTGGCACATATTTCTGTCAGTAGATCTGATATTAATGAAACTCTTCTCAAGGAGTCTTGGCGCTAACTGAGTTCTTAGTCAGCTGAACGGGATGACAATTTACTGGAATTACTGATGGGATAAAATCTAATTTTCCTTTAATCTTCTTCTCATTGAACTCTTTTAGAAGATGAGCAGTAGGAACTGAGGCACAGTAATATTGACGCATCTCCATATTAACAGCATAATATTTTTAAATCAAAGATGTTCTCATAATGCCAGTAGGAGGTAAATACCTAAAAACGCCATTAAGAGGTAAATACCTGAAATAAAGAATTTATAAAATCTATTTAAGGTGATGTCTCTGTGGCTTACTAAATAAATTAACTATGTATAACAAAAACAGGAAGTATTGAAGAAACTCAACAGGTCTGGCAGCATCTGTGGGGAGAGACTCTTCATTAGAAGTTCTTCAGAGACTCAAAACATTAACTCTGCTTTCTCCCCACAGAAGCTGCTGAGTTTCTCCAGCAATTTGTTTTTGTTTTGGATCTCCAGCGTCTGCAGTTCTTTGTTTAAAATGAACTATGTTAACCACGTTAAACACCAAATGTTACAAAGTTGGTTATTCAGAGTCCAGACATATATCTTTCTGGTTACAGATCACAAAACTCCAACACGTTGATTACTTTTTTCACCTATTTATTCAGTTCTCACCAAATTATCCCTTAATCGCATGAGAGGAGAGTGCTGATTGAGAGATCCTTGCCACCCTATCAGCACTCTCCTCTCATCCACGATAGATGTTGGTTTTCCCCTTGACCATAAGATGTAGCAGCAGAAGTACGCCATTCAGCCTGTCGAGTCTGCTTCCCCATTCATTGAGATCCTGGCTGAACTGATAAACAGCAACTGGATTTGTATTCTTGTGAAATGTCCTAATGAGGGCATGATGAATAGCTTCATTGGTTTATTTCTCAGAGCAATGCCCCAACCAATCAGAGCCAACTTGCCTAGTTTAAAAAATTCGAAAAGCTTGGGCTTTTAACTGTTAACCAGCATCAATTGGTGCATTTTCTAAAGCAATGCCTCAATCAGTTACAGTCCACTTGGCAACCAATCAGCACTCTCCTCTCATGTAGTAAATGTTGGTTTTCCACTTGAATTTGAATTCTTGTGAAATATCCCTTAATCAGCAGAGAATCATTACCTGTGTCAGTCCCATTTGACATCCTGTCGGACCCTACTGAATTATAACAAGCCATTCAGGCCACAGTGTTATCCAATTTGTGTTATGGAGTATATGAGTTGATTTGAGCCCGAGGCAGTGCTGCAACTCTAGCCCTAGCTTCTTTGTTGCTGAATTAAAAGGAAGAGAGTTAAACACCATCTCTGTGCTGCTGGAAAGAGCACATGTATGTTTATTTATTGAATGAATGAATTTTGTTGTGAGGCTGAATTGGATATTTACAATCCCAGTTCAGAGGTGCAGAGTAGAATAAAGTCATGAAGGACTGTCATTAGCTTTCAATACATATCTCTTTATATTTCTATTGTTGGACAAAAGGAATAAAGGACAGAGTAGAAAGAAAATTAATAATTGATGAATTCTGTACCTCTTGGCAGGGTTTTAGTTCGTGAGCTTAAGCGTATGGACAGTATCAGTCAGTCACCGTTTACATCCCACATCACCTCCAGTGTCCAGGGTTTAGCTACTATCCATGCTTATGACAAAGAAATTGAGTTCCTGCAAAGGTAAGTAGCAAATACCTTTAAAATATATGAATCTACAGCAAAGTACAATTACTGTATGTAAAATATAAAATTAAGAATATCTTTTAAGCATGGCACCCCTCTATGATTTTTGCCTGGAAGGTTCAGGCCAAGTATAGTCTTCAGGTAACATGCATTAGAGGGTGGAAAAATAATTGGGCCAATACATAGTGATGGTTTTAAAGTCATGCATTCCATCCTTTTTTCCCATTACATTTCACTATTATTTTGTTATCTTACTAGAGACAACTCTCCCAATTTTGGCACTAGCTTTGATGTAAGTAAAATGTTTGATCTCAAGAATGTTGCCTGCAAGTGTCTGTCTCAGGTGGAGTAAGTCAGTTCAGCTCCTAGCAGTGCTTGGGAGGCAGACGTGATGGGGAACAGTCTTCTCTCACTTTCCTGCAGCTTTAGTGCATCCCTCAGCAGATCAAAGAGCATTTTTCACTGAGTTGATGGTCCTTGATGCGCAGTTGATGTTTGTCTCGGAGTGCATCCCAGGAACAGCCTGTGGAGCACAGAGTCCTGTGTCATGGAGCTGCTCGGGACGAACCACGTCAAAAGCCATTGCATTCTCTCTCCAGGCTTTCTTTTGGAAGGAGATGTGTGACAGTCTCTTTGCCAGCACAGCTGCTTCGAGGGCAGCATGTAGTGGCGCAGAGAGTCTGGGCATACATGAAGGGTCTAATGGGCAGTGCCCTTCTCACCACCAGTCAAGCTATGTCTTGGTACTTATTGCAAAGTTCTGGTGATGAGGCATTCTGCCGCATGACTTTGACAGTCTGCTCAGGGAACCACACGACAGGATCCACCCTCTGACATTTTACCAACTAAATTCTAATATCTGCTTTTACGCCAATAGATTACAAGTGAAGTTGACAAATCATGGGGTAGAAACAACACTGCTGACATCTGGTGGTCGAACGTTGTGCATGGCCATTGATGCTATTTTGCTGAAAAAGTGGTTAATTTCAGCTTAAACCTACCATACTCCCCACATTTTAGAAGTCAGTCTGTACCATTTAACTCTAAGGTGCCATTTTCTCTTAGGTATCAGGAGCTCCTAGATTCCAATCAAGGTCCCCATTTTCTGTTCAGCTGCGGCATGCGCTGGCTGGCCGTTCGCCTTGATCTTATAAGCATCATACTTATCACCATTGTGTCAGCAATGATGGTTTTCATGCATGGAAGAATTCCGCCAGCTTACGCAGGCCTTGCCATCTCTCATGCAGTCCAGGTAACTTCAAATTAAAGAACTTAAATTGCAAGCCATGAACAATAATTAACTGTGAATGAGTAACAAAATGGAAGTTGGCCAGAGAAGTTTGAAGATGTCTAGATACTGTGTTCCACTATTTAACTTGTTCCCTGAAATCTTTAATTTCATTAAGTTAATTCTGGTTTAATTTATAATGAACAAGCAAGAATCAACCACAGTGACTGGGATGGGGAGGGGGAAAAATAGCCCATCCTGAAAAGTGTCTGACCATTGGGTGAGGCCAATGATCAGGCTCGCCTTCAATATCTAACTCTCCATTCGCAGGTGCTCAACATTCACAAAAGCCCCTCACTAATAATGACAATTTGGGTGAGATGCTGAGAATCTTTTCCCATAAAGTACCTTGGCATGAGTCACTGCCTTCAGAAAAGGAACAAGAGAATAAGAATTATTCATGATATTAATAAGTATTGTAGTATCCCATAATGAAGATTAAGAATTGTAGGTTTAAGTTATGAGCGTCAGTCCTATGGCCAAAAAAAGCCAAGTGAAGTTTGAGAAAGGTATTTTTATGCAGACTTTATGAGCCAGGAGGAGTAGAAATGCTCCTTCTGCCTCCATAGAGCCACATCCAGCCTCCCCGTACTGACCATTTTTGTAGCAACCCCTGACCCTTCACCATTCCCAATATTTCGCTCTTGCTCTCATGCACCTTGCTGGGTTTTGTATGATGGGGGTTGACCTCCTTACTGTTATACGCTAGAAAATAATTGTTTTTGAACATAGCCTAAGTCTACATTTTTACTGAGAGCTTTAAGCAGCAACAGGACATCCTGACTCTTGTACTCATTTCCCCGATCAAAAAAGGCAAGCATGCCATATGCCTTATTTACCACCCTATCTACTTGCATGGCTACTTTCAGGGAACTATGGACTTGAACTCCAAGATCCCTCTGTACATCAGTGTTGTTCAGGGGCCTACCATTAACTGTATGCAGTTCCTTAACATTTGATCTCCCAAAGTGCAGTACCTCATACTTAGCCGAATTAAACTCGATCTGCTATTTCTCCACCCATATCTGCAACTGATCTATATCCCACTGTATCCTTTGACAACCTTCTAGACTACCCACAACTCCACCAATCTTTGTATCATCTGCAAACTTACTAAACCACCTATCTACATTTTCATCTAAGTCATTTATGTATATCACAAACATCAGAGGCCCCAGTATGGATCTCCACGGAACACCACTAGTCACGGACCTCCAGCCAGAGAAACACCCTTCCCCCAGTAACCTGTGCCTTCAATGGGCAAGTCAATTCTGAATTCACGCAGCCATGTCACCATGGATCCGTGCATCTTAATCTTCTGGATGAGCCTACCATGAGGGACCTTGTCGAAAGCCTTACTAAAATCCACGTTAAATAACATCCATTGCTCTACCCTTATCAATTACCTTTATCACCCCCTCAAAAAATTCAGTCAAGTTAGTACAACTTGACCTGCCCTGCACAAACCCATGCTGTCTGCCCTTAATTAGGCCATGCTTTTCCAAATACACGTATATCCTATCCCTAAGAATTCACTCCTGTAGCTTCCCAACCAATGATGTGAGACTCACCAGTCTATAGTTTCCTGGACTATGCCTGTTTCCCTCCTTGAACAGAGGAACAACATTGGCTACTTGCCAGTCCTCCCTAACCTCTCCAGTAAGGTTACAAAAATCTTGGTCAAGTCCCCAGCAATCTCCTCTCTTGCCTCTGTCAACAGCCTGGAATAGATACCATCGGGCCCTGGGGACTTGTCCGTGTTAATGCTCTTCAAGAGACCCAACACCACTTCTTTCTTGATCGCAACATGCTATCTTCTGTAATAACTTAAATGTGTTATGATTTTTTTCTGGTCTTAATTTTTATTTTAGAAAATAGCTTCTAAGTATCTCTTGATTTTTTTTTTCTTTTAACTAACAAAATATGCATTTATATTGTGATCATTTATTTTCTTTCATGAGAATATCTTCTTTGGCCCTTGTTTTGTATCAATCAGCTGACAGGACTGTTCCAATTTACGGTCCGCTTAGCATCAGAATCGGAAGCCAGGTTCACATCTGTAGAAAGGATCAGGCATTACATAATGGTGAGTTTTGTAGCAGTGATCACAGCTGAGATCATATTTATAGTGTTTCCAGTAACTTATAGACTAAATCTTAATTATACAGCTTGACTGCCGTAGAATTATTCATCTTCAATGCATAATTGTGTGTGAAGTATTTAAATATATATCTGTTTCACACGCGTGTTAGTTTCATAAGTAAATTGCCTTTTTCTCCGCAGATACATGCTGCTGTAAGTTTGTTCTATATCTACGCTATCAAAACCATGTAGGTCTAAGATGTGGGACAGTGAGTGGGAAAGCTTGAATTAAAGAGCTTTATTAAAAACTATGAAACCTGTTATAATGAGACAATCAGACAGTCTTCATTATCAGGTCATCATCACAGACATTACAAGGTGTTGCCATCAAACTTTCCTGTTGCCGGTTGCTACAGCCAGTTGCTACTTTTTCATTGAGGTTTTCATACACACTTTCTTGAACTCTTTGGTCTTTTTTATATACTCTTTACTTGACTGGGACCATTTCATTATCTTTTGATAACATAAAACAGACTAAGGCTATGAGACAATTGTCCAGACTTCTAAACATACCTTAGATGAAGCTGAACAAATTTACTATTTTATTATTGAATTTAATGATTAATTAAAACAAATTTTGGCCAAGAACCTACTGAGAGGGGTGCTAATCTCATGATGTCCCACCACATCAAGGATCTACATTGCTAGCTCTGTAAAGATTTGTAGGTTTGAGGTAGATTGTTTATTTGTATCTTAATTATGGTTACCTATATCACTGCAGTACATAGAAGGGATACTCGCATACCTCCACAGGCCACAAATTGAGCAAGGCTTTGTCAGTCTGGATTGTGGTGAGGTGTCAGAGGTATCTTGAGCCAACCCCCAGGAAGCACAATCTCTTTTAAAGGGATTAAACATTAGGAGGAAAAAAATGCCTTCTCCTCGGGGCTCTGATTGTTTTATTTAACCTATTTTTCTAATTAGCCTGTTCATAGAAGACATTATTACACACTTCTGGGGCAGGTAAGACTTGAACCCAGGCCTCCTGGTCCAGGGGTAGGGACACTACTACTGCACCACAAGAGTGCCCCCTCCTCAGGTCTGTAGGACACACTCCAGATCTGGATCACCTGGTGGACACGATAAAAATAATTTGACAGCGTCACACACCTGGACTCACCTATACTGCTGCCCCACAATATGCAAGGTTTTCAAGTTCAGGTACATGGAATTGGTAGGCCGCTCACAGAGATTCTGCCATTTACAGGGCATATTGAATGGCCCAAGAAAGGGCTAAAACTCAGAGAGCATGGAGGTGGGAGGATTGGAAGCAGGAAGTGAACTTACTTAATTAGGCAATTGGTGACATTTGAGAACCCTGTCACTTTCTGGGTTGGAAGGCCCAAATTCTGCCTTCATATCCTTCCACTATTTGGAACTTTTAAATGGTCAGTAAGTGATTACCTGAGAGCTCAATCCACTTGGGCTGCAATTATTTCAGCTCCAGGCAAGACAAGATAGCTATGGGCTACCTAACTCATTCAGCAGTGTGGCATAGGGTCAAGGAGCAGAATTAGGACATTCAACCCATCAAGTCTGCTCTGTCATTTGATCATGGATGATATGTTTCTTAATGCCGTTCTCCTGCCTTCTCTCCATAAGCCTTGATCCCCTTACCAATCAAAAACCTGCCTATCTCTTGTCTGAAATACACTCAATGACTTGGCTGCCACTGTCCTCTGTAGCAATGAGTTCCACAGAGTCAACGCCCGCTGGCTGAAGAAATTCGTCCTCATCTCAGCTCTAGTTGACCCTTCCCTCTGAGGCTATTCCCTCAGGTCCTAATCTCTCCTATGAGTGGAAGCATCTTCTTCTCCATGTTCACTCTAACCAGGCCTCTCAGTATTTGCCAATGCCAGCACATCCTTCAAGACATATAGAGTCCAAAATCACTCAAAACTCCAAATGTGGTCTGACCAGAGCCATATACAGCCTCAGCAGTACATCTCTGCTTCTGTATTCTGTCCATCTTGAAATGCTAACAATGCATTTCCCTTCCTAACTGCCACTGAATCTGAACTCCTAATGCCCTTTGTGCTTCAGATTTCCAAAGCCTTTCCCCCTTTTGAAAATAGTCTACACCACTAGTTTTTCTACCAAAGTACATAACCTCACACTTTCCTATCTGACTTTCCCAGTCCACCTGCCTGTTGAAATCCCCCATGATTATTGTCATAGTGCTTTTGTGAAATGCATTTTCTATTTCCCAACTTACTTTCTTCTCCACATTCTGACCAGTATTGTACACAACTCCCATCAAAGTCTTTATCCCTTTGCAATTTGTCAACTCTACCATCACAGATGTTATGCCTTCTGACTCTATGTCACTTTTTGCGATTGATTTAATTTCATTTTTTGCTACTAACAAGGCAACCCCTCCCCCATGCCCATCTGCCTGTCCTTTTGAAATGACATACATCCTTGGATATTTAGTTCTTAACCCCATCCCCTTGCAGCCACAATTCTGTGATACCCACAAAATTGTACCTGCCAATATTAATCTGCTCTACAAGCTCATTTACCTTGTTTCATGTACTGCATGTATTCAAGTACAACACTGTCAGTCCTGCACTGAGTGCCCCCTTTCTCGTAGCTGTCCTGTCATGTGCTGTGCCTGAAGTTATATTCATGACCCTCTCCATACTTTCTGTCCCATTACTTGTTGTGGAAACTTTAGTAATGTCTGCTCAGCCCTCTCCCCTTCAACTTTTTCTATATTTTTCTCTGTTTCTCTGCAACTGAACCCACCTCCCCATATTTAGTTTAAAGCCCTATCCACAGCCCTAGTTATGTGATTTGCCAGGACTCTAGTCCCAGCATGATTCGGGTGAAGCCCATTCAATTGAAACAGCTCCCTCCTTCCCCAGTACTGGTGCCAATGTCCCATGAATTTGAACCCCATTCTCTAACACCAATCTTTGACCCACATGTTTACCTCTTTAATCTTGTTGACACATTACCAGTTTGCTCTTGGCTCAAGTAATTCCTGTGCTGTAGTGTCCTATGTTCTATGATGTGTTACTCGTTGCAATCTGTACACATCTGAAGCCTGAATAGGGCTTTCAAAGGTTTTAATTACTATTGAAGCTTAAATAGTTTGGCCATCTCAGCTATATTTAAGAAAGGGCCATTGAAAGTACACGATAATAAAGCTTCGTACGTCAAGAAAGATCACTTCCACAATGCAACACAGCCGGAGTTAGTATATAGCTCAGGGAATTTGGATGCCCATTTCTGTGCCCCTTTCTGCAACTGATCTATATCCCACTGTATCTTTTGACAAACACCATACACAAGTCCATTGATGTTTGTATCGTCTGCAAATTTACTAACCCACCCATTTTCCTTTAAGTCATTTATATATATCACAAACAGCAGAGGTCCCAGTATGAATCCCTGCAGAACACCTCTAGTCATGGACCTCCAGCCAGAGAAACACCCTTCTACCACTACCTTCTTCCTTCTATGAGCAAGTCAATTCTGAATCCAAGAGGCCAGATTGCGGCAGATGACGGCAAATTATTATGGGTGACTTGGTGATGGGATACAGGTTTCTGTTGAGTTATTTCAAAGTGATTGACTGATACATGTTGCTGAATCAGCTACATTATTAATTTTTTTCATTGGACTACTGAATTTTAAATTTTTAAAATGGAAAAAGATTTACCAGTTCACTCTCCCATTGCCTCCGAATTCTTCGAACTATATACACACTCTGGCTGTGATCTCATCTTGCTGACCTGATCAAATTCTATTTGCACTATCTGCTGTTGTGGGATTCGAACCTGGATCCCTAGAACATTAAAATGGTGTCTGAATTACTGTTCCAAAGATAGTGCCACTACACAATCACCATTGCAGACTGTCATTTCAGGGTGATCCCTTGATCTGCACTAATCTCAGTCTGACATGAAGCTGGACCTGATGCAGGGATTTGGCCCCTGAGAGCCACCTTTATGCCCTTGCTTCCAACTCCATCAGTTGCCTGATTGTTAGAAGATCAGCGGGCTTTCCCACCTCTGTAGGCCATAGTTTTATTTTCAGGTTCTGAGGAAGGGTCACCGGATCTGAAATGTTCACTCTGATGTTTCTTCATAATTGCTGCCAGACCTGCTGAGCTTTTCCAGCAACTTGTTTTCGTTTATATTTTTTTTCCCTGGAAATCCCTACTTTTATGCAGTTAATCTAAAAGCAGAAAGATCCTGCCCAGAATATCAGGTCCTGTTCTGACTTCAATGTCTCTTGCTATTCTTTAGGCAGGTGTATACTGGAAGATCTACCAATTTTCAATTCTTGATGATCATTGTGATAATATCCTTTAATCAAAGCTGTCTGTCTCTTAGGGGCATTTTATCCTTTGATATTACATTAAAACTGTGAAATAACCGCACCTCCTAATAACTTACCTCATGAAGAATTGTCAGGTTTTTTTTCCACAGACAATAATCTACACACACCACTTAGAAATCTGTAAGAAATGATTCATCATCTAACTAATTTAATGTGGAATTACATTCAACTAAAGTATAATAAAACCTTGATGGAGAATTTTTATTTTTTGATTGTGTACTTCCTCCTTTGTCTTAAATAAAAACAGCAAATGCTGGAAATGCAGCTTCCAGAGAGAAAATAGAGATACGTTCAAGTTGATGACCTTGTGTTCCCTTGTTTTTGTTTTGTACCTATAAAGCCCTGGTAAGAGGCCTTTTTGAGAAGAATAGCCTAAATTGAGAAGCACTGCCTAATTTATATCACCAGAGAAAAAAAAAACTTAAGATCTTTTCTAAGCAAACCTCTTTATTGTCTCATTGATATGTTACTGTTATAATTTGGTATTGTAATGTTAATGTTCTGTATCACATTTAGAATTTGGAATCTGAAGCACCACCACATATTCCAGAGACAGCACCTCCCCCTGATTGGCCTCAGGAAGGAAAAATCCAGTTTGAGGAAGTGGAAATGTGTTACCGTGATACCTTACCAGTTGTGCTTAAGAAAGTTACATTTACCATTAAACCTCGGGAAAAAATTGGAATTGTAGGAAGAACAGGATCGGGTATATTTGTTTTTTTTCCACTACTTACAATTTATTTTGAAGAATATTCAACGTGCTTAAAGAGATTGCCAAGTGTTTTCAAATGTTTTTATTTATTTGAAACAATGTCAAGATTGTAGCCCTGAACAGATGATCAAAAGTAAAATATTTAATGTTACCAAGTAAAGAATCTGCTTCCAACATGAAAGCAGAGATTTCGAGTGCTGACAAGTGCATGAGATTTGTCAGGCCTAAAGCCAATGCTTAATATTTTAAATTGGGATCTGCCCAATTTATTCTCTTGAGGAAGAAGTAATATTTCATACCCACACTGAAGGAACAGCTATACTGTTTCCAGTCAGGAGGATGAGTGGCTTCGGGGGTAACTTATAGTTGGTGGTGTCCCCATGTATCTGCTACCCTGGTCCCATAACCACTGCTATCTCAAAATTTGCAAATGAACAATACTGTGAGAAAGGGTGAGCTGTGAGGAGGATGCAGAAATGTTGCAGTGTGACTTGGGTAGGCTGGGTAAATGGGTAAATTTGTGGAAGATGCAGTATAATGTGGGACAAATGTGAGATTATCCACTTTGATAGCAAAAATAAGAAGGCAAATATTATTTGAGTGGCTGTAAATTGAGAGAGGGGCATGTTCAATGAGGCTGGGCGTCCTTGTGAACCAGTCACTGAAAGTAAGCAAGCAGGTGCAGCAGGCAGTCAAGAAGGCAAACTCTTTGTTGGTCTTCATAACGAAAAAATTTAAGTATAGGAACAAGGATGTCTTAGTGCAATCATACAGGGTATTGATGAGATCACACTTGGAATATTGGGTGCAGTTTTGGTCTCCTTATTTGAGAAAGGATGCTCGTGCTACAGAGGGACTACAGCAAAGGTTTACCAAATTGATTCCTGGGATAGCAGGACTGATGTATGAGGAGAGATTGGGTCAGTTTTATATTCACTCAAGTTAAGAAGAATGAAGGGGGATCTCATTGAAACCTATAAAATTCTAACAGGACTAGATAGGTTGGAGGCAGGAAGGATGTTCTTGATCCAGAACAAGTGTTCATAGTTTAAGGGTAATGGGTGAACCTTTTAGAGATGAGGAGAAATTTCTTCATCCAGTGAGTAGTGAGCCTGTTGAATTCACTGCCAAAGTAGTTTGCTCCAAAACATTGTGGTTTCAAGAAGGAAGTAGATATAGCTCTTGTGGCTAAAGGAATCAAGGGACACAGGGAGGACAGGATTAGGATATTAAGCTCAATCATCAACCATTGATCATATTAATGGTGGAGAAGGCTCGAGGGGTCCAATGGTGTACTCCCGCTCCTATCTTCTGCGTAGAAGGATAAGGGCAGCAGATGCATAGAAATATCATCACCTGCAAGTTCCTCAACAAACCACTCACCATCCTGACTTAGAATATATTGTTATTTCTTCAGTGTCACTGATTCAAAATCCTGGAACTTCCCAACTGCATTGTGAACTGCATTACTAATGCCAAATGGACTTCAGTGGTTCAAAAAGGCAGCTCACTGCCACCTTCTCAAGGACAACTATGAAAAGGCGGTAAAGGTTGGCTCAGCCAGTTGAAGACCACATCCCCTGAATGAGTAAAAAGAAAATCTTGCAGTGTTAAATTTATGTTCCTGCTCCACTGATAATGCAGTGGTTGAATTTCAGTCGGTGGATTTCAGGTGGATGCTGTTTACACTGTCTGTACAATTTGTGATGCTGTTTAATATACAGTCTACGCTTGATAATTCAAGGATTCTTGTGCATACAAAGTCAAATTGTTTAATTATTTGAATGAAGCAATGAAAATAGCATATAAGTATAAATTTAGTGCACAAAAGTTATCATTTTCCTTCTCAGTTGTATTCTTTGAATTGAGGATTAGGAATAGTGCAGATGTAAGTGATATCATTCTGAGAGTTAACCCAGGTTCAGGATTTCACAACTTTACTTACTAGTTTCCAATATATTAAAAAAGCATTGCTTCTCTGAATTTGCACAACTTGAAAAATAACTGATTGGAGAGTAAAATTCCAATTACAACATTAAACTGTAGTTTGTTAAATTTTAAGCTTGGTTAGTGTGAAATATTGAGACTATATTTCTCCACCATCAATATTCTTATAGAGCCATAGAGATATACAGCGTGGAAACAGATCCTTTGGTCCAACTCGTCCATGCCGACTAGATATCCTCAATAAATCTGGTCCCATTTGCCAGCATTTGGCCCATATCTCTCTGAACCCTTCTTATTCATATACCCATCCAGATCCCTTTTAAATGTTCTAATTGTACTAGCCTCCACCACTTCCTCTGGTAGCTTATTCCATACACGCACCACCCTCTGCGTGAAAAAGTTGCCCCTTAGGTCCCTTTTACATCTTTTCACTGTCACCTTAAACGTATGCCTTCTAGTTTTGGACTCCCCCATCCCTGGGAAAAGACCTTGTCTTTTTATGCTGTCCATGCTGCTCATTATTTTATAAATCTCTATAAGATCATCCCTCAGCCTCCAACGCTCCAGGGAAAATAACCCCTGTCTATTCAGCCTCCCCCTATAACTCAAACTCCCTAACCATAGCAACATCCTTGTAAATCTTTTCTGAACCCTTTGAAGTTTCACAACATCCTTCCTATAGCAGGGAGACCAGAATTGCACGCAGTATTCCAAAAGTGACCTAACCAATGTCCTGTACAGCCACAACATGACCTCCCAACTCTTACACTCCATGTACTGACCAATAAAGGCAAGCATACCAAACACCTTCCTATTATCCTATCTACCTGTGACTCCACTTTCAAGGAACTGCACTCCAAGGTCTCTTTGTTCAGCAACACTCCCTAGGACCTTACCAAAATGCAGCCCCTCACATTTATCTAAATTAAACTTCATCTGCCACTCTTTGGCCCATTGGCCTATCTGATCAAGATCCCATTGTACTCTGAGATAATCTTCTTCGTTGTCCACTACGTCCCTAATTTTGGTGTCAACTGCAAACTTACCAACCACAACCTCCTGTGTTCAAATCCAAATCATTTGTATAAATGACAAAAAGCAGTGGACGTAGCACCAATCCTTGTGGCACATCGCTGGTCACAGGCCTCCAGCCTGAAAAGCAACCATCCACCACTACCCTCTGTCTTCTACCTTCAAGCCAGTTCTATATCCAAATAGTTAGTTCTCCCTCTATTCCTTGTGATCTAACCTTGCTAACGAGTCAACCATGTGGAACCTTTATCAAGAGCCTTACTGAGGTCCATATAGGTCATGTCCACCACTCTGCCCTTTTCAATCCTCTTCATTACTTCTTCAAATATCTCAATCAAGTTAGTGAGGCATGATTTCCCATGCACAAAGCCATTTTGACTATCTCTAATCAGTCCTTGCCTTTCCAAATACATGTAAATCCTGTCCCTCAGGATTCCCTCTAACAATTTGCCCACTACTGATGTCAGGCACACCGGTCTATAGTCCGATGGCTTTTCCTTACTACCTTTCTTAAACATTGGCACCACGTTAGCTGACTTCCAGTCTTCCAACACGTCGCCTATGGCAATCGATGATACAAATATCTCAGCAAGGGGTCCAGCAATCACTTCCCTAGCTTCCCACAGTGTTCTAGGGTACACCTGATCAGGTCCCAGGGATTTATCCACTTTTTATGTGTTTTAAGACGTCCAGCACCACCTCCTCTGTAATATGAGACAACAAGGTGCAGGGCTGGATGAACACAGCAGGCCAAGCAGCATCATAGGAGCAGAGAGGCTGACGTTTCGGGCCTAGACCCTACCCTGACTCTTTGTTTTTTACTGGTCAACCAAACCTCTATCCATG